AGAAGATCTCTTCTCTGCTCTCTCTCATCTTCTGCTCTCTCATCTCTCTCGAATCAGTCTCATCTCTCCTCTCTCTCTACTCTTAATGGTCTCTCATCCTCTCCGTCTCCGTCGTCTCTCTCTCCATCTCTCTCTCGTCACTCCGTCTCTCCTCTCTCTCTCTCGAGTCTTCTCTCGCTCGCCGTGATCTCCTCGTCGTCGTCTCTCCTCTTCTCCTCTCTCTGTCTATGTTGTTGTGCTGCGCTTCGCGTGTGTGTGCGTGTGTATGTGTGTGCGTGCGCGCGCGCGTGTGCGTGCGTGTGCGGTGTGTGTCTATGTGAGTGTGTATCTATGTGTGTCCATGTGTGTGTGTCTCTGTGTGTGTATGCGTGTGTGCGTGCGTGCGTGCGTGAGCGAGTGTGTGTATGTGTTTTCCGTGCGGGTTCGCGGAACAGGTTTAGACGCATCGTTCTTTTCGGAGGACATATAAGTGGCAGGCGAACTCCGTGCATAATTATAGATAACGCGGGTAATGATCAAGTGAGCGCAGAACAGGCAAGCGTATACGCGGCTAGATAATTGCACGTACATTCGCGGTGGAACCATGCTCTGCTGCTCCCAGGGGCAGACGCGCGCGTGCGCTGCCATGGCAACCGATACTACACCAACGCGATACAAATCCACGAAATAATGCGCAAGAATTCATATAATTCATAATACGCAATGCTCAATGATAACCGATGGCGGCCCGTTTTTAACGCCGGTAGGCCTATTGTTTTGTAATCTCGTGTCGCGCTAGTTCCAGAAAGACTTCCTGAGATAATTCCTGGGTGCGGTGACGGAAGGAAAGGGGGGGGGTCGTCTATCAACAGCATCTCAGTAATGACGAGGGAGAGGCGCAGCTCCCAGTCAATGTGCATAGCTAGGCTGACGGGGTGGGGGAACAAGGCCGGGTTTCACTGACGACAATTCTCGATGATTACTGTACAGATATAGGTGGAGTACAACAGTAGAAGGCGCCCATAGGCAGCAGGCCTGAATAAGCATCCCATCATCCACACGGGATACGTCCTTACATAAACGCAGAGGTATAATCATATAAGTTATGAAACTGTTTTCATATTTCTACTAGGACTGTAGCCACCAATCTCAGACCAGGCTATCCACCTATCGTAAAATTGTTGAATAGGTTTTAGGCGAAGTAAGTTGTGTAACTCGTCTAATTAGAATTCATGTAGCATCAGAATAGCACGCATCACATGTGCCCCTACAGTACCGACCTCTATCGTTCCCATAAATAAAAACAATACAATTTACAAGCATATGCTCATTATGAGACTAAATATAAATAACTAGTGTAGTAGCCGTTGCCGTACTTAGAGAGTGTACAGACAAAAATTTCCCTTTATCTTTCAAGAGTTACCATTAGCAATCTATAAATTGTAATTATGGCATAACCTCGTTTAAGGTTTTAAACCTTGAAGTAACTATACGTCCTTTGCATCGAAAGACAAAGCAATGCAAAATATTGGTTATTAACTATACAACATACTTTTATTTCACTAAAAATGCACTATAACCTTTTGCAATCAAACCACATTGTGTGTTTCTTGGTGACAAAACTAACCATGAGTCTTTACACATACTGCAGATAACTGATAGCTGTAATATTAATGTGTTATAAATTTAAATGGTGCTCATGCAAGAATAACCACGTTCTCCTAACAATAACGATGTGCTTTTACATAGCTTTATGAAAGAACTGCACATGGTATCGTTAAAGAGATTAAAATAATTTAAATTGTTAATACTTTGCATAAGTAGCACAGTTTTCTAAACTGGGAAAATTCTAAAATAGTTGAATGAGTTACCACTGATTGCCAATAAAACACCAGCAACAACTGAGATGACACATTCGTAATTAGCTGATTGTATTCTTGCTCTTGTATTTCCTGTTGATTCAGCCTACCCTCGTGACAACATTCTAGAAAATAACAAAACAGACATTAGTTCATGAAATACTTTTATGCATAAAAGAACAAAGTGGTAAGTGAACATTAGGCAATTGATCAGCAAGATTATAATAAAACTATGTTACGTAGTTTAATGTGAAGTAAGATCTGTATTCAAATCCCAACAGTCACAGTAAAATCAATTTGTGCGCAAAGTGAGATATGCTAGTCGAAAGCTCATACTTGAAACAAAGTGCACCACTTATACTGTAAGGAATGGATGTTTTTACTATAGACAAAAAATATTACAGCAGGATAACACTAATAAATTCTGTTCAATAATTTTAGTTACCCCTCTAGTGTGGTCGACACACTGGACAAATGCTTTTGCCTCTTGGGAGCAGAGTAGAGTTTGTCCTCGGTTGGCTTCATAGCATTTCATTACACGCTCTTCCATATCCCCACAAATAGGCGTTTTCGGTTGTTTTCTACAAAAATTGGTGAAACTTATTGATTTGAAAAGCATGTAGATATGCTCTCACTGTCAGATTCACTGTTTATTTTATATCTCATCACAAAAAAACAAGTTGTTTCTATATGCACTGCATATGCATGTAAAGTTACTCAAAAGAATGTTAGCACTGTTAGAATTACTATGTAACTGTTCTTCTGCTTGTAAAGCATAGTAGCAAATTTGCTCATTCTACAAGCTCATATATACCAAATTATGTCAATAAAATTTGTATAACATCAAGAGCTAATAATACCTATAGTGTACAACGGAAAAACGGGGAAATAGTGCTATTTCACGACAACATTATTCTACTTTGCCTACGAGTCTAGAATAATTTTATGGCATTGCATTAAGCAGAATTCTTTGCTCTCTAAAACAAGACCAACCGCTTGTCAATACGATACTCCTAGGCTGAGATATTGGCCCCTAAACCTCCCCTCCCACATGCCTCACGCCGCCTCGCATCCCGGTTATTCAGCCACCTCTACGCCCCTAAGCATTTTGGCTATCGGTTTCGGTCACCGCTTGGAGTGCTGATAATTGATGTCACATGCCCAAATGTGGTACTCTTACTACACCATACAGTAACTGCTAGTAACTAGTACCCCTAGGGTAGTAGTAGTAGCCCTGCTAGAAAAGATAATGGGAGATAAGGGCATAAGCAATGCCCCCGAAAGTCACCTATGATAACCGAAACGCCGTTCATTCATAAAGTTATCACGGAAAAACCGAACTTTCACGAAGCAATGCTTAGGGGCGTAGAGGTGGCTGAATAACCGGGATGCGAGGCGGCGTGAGGCATGTGGAAGGGGAGGTTTAGGAGCCAATATCTCAGCCTCGGAGTATCGTATTGACAAGCGGTTGGTCTTGTTTTAGAGAGCAAAGAATTCTGCTTAATGCAATACCATAAAATTATTCTAGACTCGCAGGCAAAGTAGAATAATGTTGTTGTGAAATAGCACTATTTTCCCGTTTTTCCGTTGTACACTCTAGGTAGTATTAGCTCTTGATAACATTCTTAGCACGTATTTCCAACCTATACTTTTCACAGTGATGGGTTGGTTACCTTTGCTGCAATACATTAACATTATTTATGTCCAACAAAAACTTACACAAACTTGGCATGTACTTGTTTTAGTGCATTTTCAAATTCCTCCTTTGTAAGGCTGTATTGCTCTACATTCTGAGGAATTAATATAAACATTTGATCAACTATTGAGAAATTTTGTACACATGGCTGATGTTTACATATATAATGCAAATAATGTGATAATTAGGTTTTTAAAGAAATTAAAAAAGGACCATTTAAAGTGGAATGCAATTCTTTAGATATTTTATCTGTGATTATTGCTACAGTTGTAAAACATCTCAAATGTTCTCAATAAGCTAGAAATATGCAATGCAGTTACATTTTTTAAGTGCCATTGCGGCAAAATTTTGGCGTAAAGATTGAGTAACTGCATAAAATGATAACTAAGCTTAAGCAAGAGCCAACATTTCCTAGAACAAAATCATGACAAGCTACATTTATAGGTATCTCTAATGACACAAGATAGAAGGAGGCTGTAGATAGATTTTACCCTCTGTTCCAGTGCGTGCTGCCTCTCTTTGTAGTAGCTTTCTATTCTTCGAATCTCTTCTTCATGTTCCTGTTGACTGATTCCAGATGGGACAGGATAGCCCATAGGTGGTACCATTTTAGGGGCAGTAGCCGATGGGAGAGCGGGCTGTGAAACATGCTGTGCTGCAGATGGAAATTTAGGAATTCACACCCAAGCGTCAATGAACGAAAACTGTCATATTGATATTTTCATTTGTGTTTCCACCGTATCTTTTCTATTAAAACAATGCCTACCTTTTCTAGGTTCTCTTGGAGAAGAGTCTCCTTCGCCTGCAAGTCTTCTTGCCATTGACTCTGATATCTAAAGTAACAGGAAAATTTTTTAACAATAAGACATGGTCAATTTAGAGTTGAGAGTGATGAATATTTGCAGTTTTTATTTGTAAGGTTACGACATTATTATTTTGTTACAAAATGTATATACCTGTCATTCTAGAGTATAGATCCTGTATGAATATATCTGCACCTAATTAATTTTAGTAAACCTAGTTTTTATGAGTTAACAAACTATAGATTTTATTTTTAATCGTTCATCTTGTTAAAATTGCTTTAGCTGAAGCGTCTGTTTTTGTCTGTGTCCAAGTAATGTGTTTGTGAAAATACATCTACACAAGCATGCAAGAAAACCCTGCGCAAGAAAAATGTGTGCATGCAAGTTCAGAAGCTTTCATGGCAAACACAAATAAAAACTGATATAAATATAATAACTTTTATAATGAAAGTGTCAATGACACTGTAGCTCACCACAAAAAAGGACACAAATGAGTGAGTAAGAAGAAGTCAGTTTTAATTGAGCAACCATCGACGTACATTATAGAAACGATTGCCATCTGTATATCGCAATAATAATTTATAAACCAAAATGAATCACAATTTGTGACCGTAGATGGCGCTATACCCGCTTTGTAGTGATGGCGCTTGAAATAAATAGGTTATGCTGCGTTCCGACATGTTTTGTAAAACTTTACTCTAATATAGACGTTTTATCGGCAGAGTGGAGAGGAAATACCAATTTTGCATTAAAGATATTGTCAATGAAATCTTGTAAAACGAACCAGACGAGTGTGACACCACAGACTGTTTGTGTTTATATAATATGCTATATAATTTCCAAACCCTACCTAATTTGCATAATTTTTTTTTTAAATATCAAAACCCCTAGCCCTTATTCATTCACATACCAAAAATTATCTAAATCCGTTGAATCTGAACTGACTAATGGCAATTCCCATTTTTGCCAAAAAATTGCCGTGGCTCGAAAGTACGTCGACTGGCGTGCTTCAAAATAGGACGTTCCATATGGGAGCATAGCAGTAACAACTACACCCAATTTCAAACATGTGGGTCAAGCGGTTCCTGAGTTATCGTTGACCGAAACCAAATGTTGACGGACGGACGGTCGGACGACGGACAACGACCCATGGCAATAGCTCAACTTGACGATATCAAGGTGAGCCAAAAATAGAGAGAGGTGGTAGTACTGTATCATTTTTATAGACGCGTCTTGTACTCGATTCTTAGAGGTCCCGGTCACTTCAATTTCAAAGTAGTTAAACAGATGCATCAAAATTATTAATACAGTGCTGCCACCTGCACTTTATTATATTTTCCTTTTATATTGTCCTTTAATCATATTGACTTTTTTCATTCGCACCTCTCAGCTTGCATGCATGATTACCGACTTGCAGTTTGCTCAAAAGCTTGTTCATATGCGTTCAAGTTTTGATTTGAGTATGTCATGCACACTTCTGAACTTGCAAGTGCAGTTCTGAATTTGCATGTGTGGTTTTGTTTATTATGAGCCACAGAATAATATATAACAGAATCAATGTAGTTGGTAGCCTTCAGGTGTACTAAGAGTAAGGCACGTAATAAATAACGGGTTGTGTACGCTTGGTAAATGTAGAGTTTCCAGTATATTGTATTATCACACTTGTCTACTATCTACTCCTAAATACCGAAGGCTAGATACAATAATGTAACCCAACACAAGTGATTCACTCAGGGCGGTTTTATGGTGCGTTTTTCGTGACTAGAAACTTCCAAACTGGATTTATTCTAAACACGAACCTTTCTCCGCTATCCTGGGACTTACTATGTATCACAATACTGTGTATTAAACTAATATAACCTGTTACAAAATTTTGAAGCGACGAGCGGCGATATTTCGAGCGCCATTTCTGGTGACCTGTGACGCTGGCTTTCCCAATGTGCATAGCGATCGGCAAACTTCGGTTTGAAGAGCGGATGCATCACGGGATGCTAGACTGGTACCCGGTCCCACCTCTCGGCTTAGTTACTCGATGGGTATGGTACGAGTAATCGAGGTGGGAGCGAGTACCAGTCTACACGGGATGCCTGAGAAATAGCAAGTGGATGTGGCGCGTATCCTTCACCGACTAATCGGAGGGCTCGCAGCACACTAAAGCCAGAGCATATAAACAGAGCTAAAGCTGACCGAAGTTTGCCGATCGCTATATGCACATTGGGAAAGCCAGCGTCACAGGTCACCAGAAATGGCGTTCGAAATATCGCCGCTCGTCGCTTCGAAATTTTGTAACAGGTTATATTAGTTTAATACAGAGTATTGTGATACATATACTGATAAGTGATATACTAGTAAGTCCCAGGATAGCGGAAAAAGGTTCGTGTTTAGAATAAACCCAGTTTGGAAGTTCTAGTCTCGAAAAACGCACCATAAAACTGCCCTGAGTAAATCACTCAGGGGCTCCTCCAAAGAAAAGAATAAGCTCGCGTTGTAACACTACTCTTGTGTTGGGTTATATTATTGTATCTAACCGAAGGCGAATCCATAATTTATTCATTATATTTATAAACGTCCAAGGAGACTCACAAATTACCTTCACTACACCGTTTCCATCCTCGTCCTCCATCTCTACTGTTACTCGGCGGGTGCTACTGGTTCCACCCATTCCGTACCAAGCTAGGTGTGACAGTTCAATATGTATAAGCACAGCCAACTAATGGTCTTAAGAATATGGATATCCCTAGTCGTGCAACCTTACAAACGAGTGAAATTACTGGGTGCTGCCATATCACTGGACCGGCGACAAGCAACTTCCTGTAAGTAGATGATCCCCATCTCTTCGCTGCATAGGTGGGCAACAATAAGATTTCAGAAGTGTAGAGCTGGGGTAACATCTGATTAAATAAGTCCCGTTTTATGCGAATTTTTGCAAAATAAAGCTGTAAAGAATAATTTAAAAAAGAAAAAATATTTGTAATATTAATATTAATGATAACACTTGTATCAAATATTGTAGATTTGTCGGTTTTGTGCATTTTGTGATTGCACAGATGGGGATGGTGGTCTTTTTTATTGATATAGAGGCTTATTATATTGACTATGCCGCATGGACCCGTCTACGAACTCATTGAGTTGCGCGCCCTCTGTCGCATCTACAACCATGGCCGTCGAAATGTTCACGTCTTTGCTAGTTGGTCTCTTCATTCTATCTTTAGGTACGGTATTGTATGTCTTGTACACGGTTATGTATGCTAATTGTTATGTAACTTATTGGTACTACTGTTTATGACTAATAATTTATCTTAATTTACGCTTCACATCGATGGCAATGATGTATCGAAATACCTAAAGCTGAGTGACGGCTTGTCTTGCCGGTGGGTGACGTGGCTGTTGAGTGTTGTTTATGGCTGCCTAGCCACATGTACACGTATCGACGATTTTCGAGTTCTGGCTTTTTGTTGGTCTAGTAAAGACTGGTATATTACTAGATCATTAAAGGTCAAAAATGAGTAACACCTTAGTTTTGCCTACGATGCTACCTAGGCTATGTTATGTATCTGTTTGTGGGAATAGGTACTGAGTAGGCTTACTGAGTACTGACACTGTGCGAAGCAAGTTGTATATAAACCTATGACTATGTTATAACTAATATGTATTATATGTATATATTTGTATATTACTTAATACTGTAAGAATTTACACATGTGGCTAGTGTTGCCCTGTAGCTAGCACTAGCAGACAACAAGTAATATATTTTAGTGAATGCACAAAAACTGTGTATCAAACTAAGAGTAAGAGAAGCTAGGGCCATGAGAATTGAGGTATGAGTTTACCGTTCACCGCCCGCATGTCGTCAGAGCCACCGCCGAAAATATTCGTTATTTCAAAAGTATTTCATTATTTTCATTTTTAAATCATTAAAACCCAAGTTGTCCATTCAGAGCGATTAAAACATACATTACCAATACAAAAACGCTATAGGGCCTATTTACATCCTTCATTGGGGTCCTGATCCCCCTCTGGCTCTTTGAGACCTTGGGTTTGGTTTTGGTTTAGGGCGCAAAAGCATGCTGACGTATCCTGAGTACATCGACTTACAGCCTGATCCCGAAAAACGGGGCAACGCATGAACAATGGGTTAACTACAAATATTAAATGAATAATGAAAAATGAAAAGTGAAAAACAGTCTCCTCACTTTTCAAAATATCTCAGACGGTAAACTCATACCTCAATTCTCATGGCCTAATGGCAATGCAATGCTAACTTCAAATCATCTCCTGTCCTGCTAATTTTTGTTCTAATACACCCCGGTGGCAATAGCAACTGAAATCAAGGCAGGTAGAGTTCACTAATACTGATTTTTGTTTCTGGAAAATTACTTGTCTAAAAAAAAGTATTGTTAATTCAAATTGTGATGATACCTGTTGTTTGTCTCTCGGTAGCTTCAGCTGAATCATGCCTGAAACCACAGGTTGACAGCCAGGTATACTCCACACATGACGCAGCTGTGGTAGTGAGTACAGCATTAGTGACAGAGTTTACGCTGAAGTGCAGTAATGGTGCTAAGGTGAGTGGAAAATGTTATAAAAACGTGCAGCTAAAATGTTGTAAACACTGACAAATTGTTATGTTTTAAGCTATTCATCTATAAATGCTTATAAGGCTTCATTTTAATATTTTGCCCCAAATCCATTTAGACCTGTCACCTGTAAACTCTAAAAGCAACTATATTCCTGATTATTACCAGCTAACTTTAAGGCCTAGTAGCAAAGGTTATATTGGATGATAGACATTCCTACAGCTATCTAATTTATATCTGAGTATTCTTGTATTTCTTCTATATTTGACCAAAATTCGTCTCGTATTTCCTATATCTTTCTCCCAACAAGCGGCTTGGAAGTATAATGCATCTTTGCACCTGCCTCACACATCCAAAACTAAATATAAAGAATTATAGTCGATCTATGTTGTTAACATTTTATCGCAATATTTCAATCGTTACAGAATCTTCCTCTCTATGCCGAGATTAATGGTCGTACAACACCTGTGACCAAAAGTGAAGATGGGACGAAATATCAGGTAAAACCTCGTTTCATTTTCAAGTTTACTTTCCATTTTCTGGTTGATGTTATGTTGTTGTGAGAAGTTGAAACACCATGCTATGAATAACTCTCAGATTACACCGATAACCTTTTGTTAAAAATTTATGGAGTTTTGTATACACACGGACTGTTAGATCAGTTAGTAATAAACAAAATGCTTGCAGAATTTACTATAGATGTTTGGCGTTAACGGTCACAGGAATACCTCAGTGTAATGCTAAACGTGGTAGCCAATAAGTACTCAATAAAACTACAGTTGGTAAACTAAGTAAATAATATGGTTGAGATGGTAAAACACTGTTGCTAATAGCTGTCAGTATGGTCTAACAAAATGCTATTTCATATGACAGGTCAGCTGGGTAGGTGAACATAAACTGGCACCAAGGAACGTTTATCCGATCAGGGTGTTTGATTCTGAAGGCTACCAACAGCTTAAGAAAGCTCAACGCAACGAAGAAAACGTTGGCAACGTCAAACCACTTTTCACCATCGAGCTAAATCACCCGGTATTGTATAATTTTATCAAAAGCAGATGGGCAGGGGTGTAACTATCTCATTTTGCCTGGTGGAAAGGAGGGACCATGCACCTTTTGTGTACGGCGAATTGAAAAGTGCACAGTTTGCCATTATCTATTGACTATACATGTAATACTAATAGTATCTACATTGGTCTGGTGGGACTGTACCGTAGTATTTGGACGCTCCGTAGGCATGCTTTTTTGTTTTGCTCTTGTTTTCTTTTTGTTTGAATCTTGTTTTGCACGGCCGTAGGAAATAGTAGCTATGCTCTTTTGTTTTCTTTTTGTTTCGCCTTGTAACCTGACACACATAACACAGTCTTACTAATTTACTACATATTGCAAATTGTTTCAATCAAATGTTTCCATCAGTGACCGGGAAGTCCGCCATGTTTGTTTATTGCGACCGTTTGGTGGGGCGCAGATGACTACTGCGCATGCTGCGCATACGCTGTGTGCGCCCTTGCAAAACAAGAGGTGCCTGCGCGCATGCGCACTTAGGAGCATCCAGTTTCGGGCGAGCGTCCAAATACTACGGTACAGGACAACTGCTCCATTTTACTCTCCTGCACTAGCTCTGGCCCTAAAGGGTGGGGAGAAAAGAAGAAGTTTGTTCTGTACTCCTGGATTGCACCTGAAAATGTTTATTAAGTGTATGGCTATGTTCTCACTGCAGTTTGGATTGCAGGAACAGGGTAGTGTGCAACATTTATTACAATAATTATATTATGTAATATTGGATATGTTACTATTAAATATAAATAAAGAAATATATATATAATTATATATATTATTGTTTTGCCCAAAATCACGGGATGCTATCCGAAGTGTTTCCTTGTTACAATAAGATTACTGGTTTTTGGCTGTGTGTGCTACTACTGATATGTGTGTATGTGGGCTGTTTGCAGGGTCAGTACAGAGGGCCGTGGCTGCAGAGTGAGTTTGTGGCAGCAATTGGAGCCATTCTCGTCTGGTATATCGCCTACAGTGAAAAGGCGAAGATCCATGCATAAGACTATCGTCGTACTCATCTGGTGGTTGCCGTTCCATTTAATCCATTCACTTAAAAGGTCTTTGTAGCAATTTAATAATATTGGATGTATAAACCTTTTTTAATTATGAGCAATAAAGTCTGAACGTTTTCATAAAAAGTATTTGATATTTTTTTGACGTGATTTTTGAGCGTGTGTATCGAGCTGTTATAGTGTTTCACACGTCTAAGCAATACATGATCACTGTAGCTCGAGTCATGACAAGTAAGCAATGGTGAAAGTCTGTTATGTATTTTGATTTGATATATTCATACATCAATGCTTTAGTATGGTAATTATCAATGCATGCATTACAAACACTATTTAGATAAAAAATATATATATAATGATAAAATGTAAAAAAAATACCAATGGAAATGCAGAAAAGTGTGAGAGGTACACTTATTCACAGTGAGGTCTCTGAACAGGCTGGAAATGGCAGTTGAGGTCCTTACAGTTTATCGGTGTTTTGGAGGGCGCTAGATGGAATGGGCAGTAATCGGAGGTGTTACCAGCAATCTGGATACTGCAGGACTCGTCGAATGAGCTCTCAATTTTATATCTGGTAAGGTGTTCCAGCCCCCCTATTCATTCTATAAACAAATGAAATTTTTGTGTAGTTATTATTATATTGTTTAGCTTCTTTGTTTCTGTCATTCCAATTGGAAATTTTCTCCTTTCCTCTTTAGTTAATTGCAAATTTAATGCCTTTGCTACTGCGATCCGAAGTATTGATCTGTCCATCTGATTAACTTTGTCTATTTCCGTCTTCGATATAGTTCCTAGGACGTTGAAGACTGATGGCTCTAATCTCCTTATGAGGTTATAGGAACTAATAAAGTATCCGAGAGATGGCGCTGCTGTATGCAAACAACATTTGCTCCGAATTTCCAAGATGTGGCATGCATAAATCTTGTGCAGCAAAAATGTTAAGGCAATTACTTGGTAGACGGTTCTTGGTTTTTGCTATAGCCTGGCTTGCTTATGCATCTGGTTACCTGCTAAGAAAACCCATTGGAGTGGTATGTATAACGTATTCAAAATTAGTTTGCTTCAATGATGATGATCTTTGACTTTGTCAGTTTGTGATCTTCAGCGTGACGGTGGATCATTGTTTTGGCTAGCAGGCTCACAGGCACAGGCACTTGAAACCAAGGAGCTAAATATATTTAGCTCCTTGCTTGGAACGTCTCAATAAAAAAAAGGTAAATAAACACGAAATGTATTTACTACCAAAGTCTTAATGTTTCTCTACTTTGTTTCGCCTATAATCACCTGTAAATGGCAGTCAAAATCAAATGCTCATCTGCAACACGCAAGTACACCGCACGCCCGTGCTGTGCACAAACAACATGAATAAGAGCACAGGCACTTGAAGCGTTTCATCTGTAAACACACGCCGCCACCATTGCTGCTGCGCTGCACACTGACACATAAATATATAGCAGGTAAGAAAGCGTGCGCCAGAAATTCGCTCGACGCTCGCTGCATTTCACATGATTACAACACAAAAACTCAACCTTCCGACTCCATCTTTGCTGCTAATTGAAGAACAGTGTTCACTTGTTGTAGAAATATTATGTCTCAGTTCGAAACAGAGCTGTGTCACGCAAAATCACGAATGAAATCATGAAATTCTCGCGATCGCTAGCACTGCGAACGTGATGTTAAGGAATTTCGGAATCTGAAGACCCTTTCCGGCCGTATTCGTATATGTTAATAGTTATCTATAGCAACGCCCCACTGGCGGCTTTGACGGGGCTCACATGGGAGGCGGAAAGCAGCGCTGTTGTTTCCCAAAATGCAGTGCGCTGCCTTTAGCCATGTACTTAAGTTCATTAACATCACGCACGCAGTGCTAGCGAACGCGAGAATTTCATGATTTCATTCGTGATTTTGCGTGACACAGCTCTGTTTCGAACTGAGACATAATATTTCTACAACAAGTGAACACTGTTCTTCAATTAGCAGCAAAGATGGAGTCGGAATGTTGAGTTTTTGTGTTGTAATCATGTGAAATGCAGCGAGCGTCAAGCGAATTTCTGGCGCACGCTTTCTTACCTGCTATATATTTATGTGTCAGTGTGCAGCGCAGCAGCAATGGCGGCGGTGTGTGTTTCCAGATGAAACGCTTCAAGTGTCTGTGAATAAGAGAGCAGGTAGGAAAGCGTGATGGCAAAATTCGCTCGACGCTCGCTTCATTTCACACGATCACAGAACGAAAACACATCCAACGGCTTCCATCTTGGTAGCTATGTGTACATAAATGTTCACTTGTTCGAATTATAACGCTGGCCTTTGTTCTTACCTACTCCCGCAAGAGATATCTTGTGAAATCCTGCAGGAAATGGTCTCTCCGTGAAATTGTAAAGAGGACGAGATGTCTGTTTATACACGAGTAATGGGGCGCATTGCATGCCGGGATGAGCTGCTGCCGGCCTCCGAGCTTCGTTTCGAGGCCCGCCAAGCCAAGCACAATGCGCGCGGGCATGACGTCACGCACACACGACTACAGCGATCGATCGAAAGTAGCGCCGTTAGGGATTTTCGGATGATACCTTACTCTTTACATTTTTACGGAGAGAACATTTCCTGCAGGATTTCACGAGATATCTCTGGCGGGAGTAGGTAAGAACAAAGGCCAGAGTTATAATTCAAACAAGTGAACATTTATGTACACATAGATACCAAGATGGAAGCCGTTGGATGTGTTTTTGTTCTGTGATCGTGTGAAATGAAGCGAGCATCGAGCGAATTTTGTGATCACGCTTTCCTACCTGCTCTCTTATTCATGTTGTTTGTGCACAGCGCGGGCGTGCAGTGTACTTGCATGTTGCAGATGAGCAGTTGACTGGCATTTACAGGTGATTATAGGCGAAACAGAGTAGAAAAACATTAAGACTAGTAAGGTAGTAAATACATTTCACGTTTATTTATCTTCTTTTTTTTTTATTGAGCCGTTCCAAGTGCCTGTGAGCAGGCCTGCAGCAGTTAATGACAGCGGGCTATAGTACTAGAGCTATGTTTTGGCATGTGCCATCTTCTAACGATCCTTGGACCTTCTGGCTTTAGCTTCTTTGTTTCTGTTATTTCGTATTGGAATTCTCTTCCTTCACCATTGGGAAATTGCAAAATTGCAACTTTTTCTACTGCAATTCGCAGTGTTGATCTAGCGATTTGATCCACTTCTCACTCCGCCTTCGTTATTACATAGCTCTAGTACTATAGCCCGCGTACAGTTGCCGCAGGCCTGCAATCCTGCCTGCAGTTCCAGTTGCACACACAGTTGCAGTTGCAGCAGGTGGTCTGGGTTGTGCAGGCCTGCGGCAACTGTACGCGGGCTATAGTACTAGAGCTAGTTATTACATTACTACATTACCGGGCATTAGTCCTTTTGAAGACTAGCATTTAGGGGGGGCCTATGAGGTTATGAGAATGAGGTTATCTTTCCCGAGACTCGATAGCGAGAAAAATTTCAATACAATTGACAATAGTCGATACAATTGCCGCTTCGCCACTTGCAATTAACATTGACCCAGCATTAATTTTCGTAAATGTGGGGATCGGCCCTTTAAAATCGACAGAGGTCTTTTTTCATAAAATGCCTAATTATTTCTACCAACAAATATGCCCTTTCTTGACAGAAAGGCAGAAGAAGGCGATTGATACTCGTCTCTGGTTCTGGCAATCTGCACGAGATTCAATCTAACTCCTAGCCTCCAAATTAGTTTCCAAGAAACATTAATAAATCAAAAGACCTAGTGACGTGTGTTGACGTTAGTCTCGCCACCTGTCACGCTATTGCAGAACCGAACAACACTGTACACAAGCCTATGAATGTATGTATGTATGACTGGGAACCTTTAGATCGGTATTGCCCTGCAAAAAAAAGAGGGAAAAAAATAAAATAAAAAATAAAGTCTGTATCCCTTTATAGATTTGTGAGTGCAGCTGATCTAGCTCCCCAAAGTATCTCCAGGTACTGTTTAGTAAGCTGAACTATAGTAATAAGGCTGCTGCCAACCCTAAACCCCAGGTAAGTTTTTAAGAGCTCCTGCATGTCATACATGCGAGGTTTCTGTTGCCTCCAAACCTGTTCTACGTTTAATCATATTAAAAAAAACTTTTTCTATGGTTTTCATATTCAGGACATTCTAGTAAAAAGTGCTCCAGGGTCTCAAACTCTCCTTTCCCACAAATTAAGCATTTATCTTCACCTCCCCAGTGTCTAGTTCGTTTATTCAATGGCAAGCACCCCGCTCTGCATTGAAAGAGCAGGCTACTCCCAAGACTATTATCATAAAAGGACTCTTTATCAGGCGTCTTTTTTTCTTTATACAATCCTAGCGAACTTTTGTTTTCTATCACTTTTTTCCAGACATTACCACTCTGTTTAATTGCTTTTTCCACTCTAACATTCCAATCTTTAATACCCCCCCCCCGTTAACTCTTCGTCTAGCCTCCTATCCAAGTCAAACTTTGTTATGAGGAACCTGGTTCTCCTCATTCAGTCTGATCTGAATTTGCCAAATTCCATTGCTTCCGCTATCTGTTTACATTTACGTTCATTATGCATATATATTTTATCCTGCCCCAATATTTAATTTTACTTTTGGCCTCTCTCTCTTCAAAAGTTGACCATCTAATCTCCCCTCTAATACTCTCCAGTCCCACATAAGAGGGTGCCCCTAGTAACTCCCTTCCCAGCTGGTTTTAAGTCCTGTCTAGTGCCTGGAGCGTGGAAGTTCCTCCTTTTTTAACTTTAAATACTAGGGCTTTATTTGTATACGTCAGTGCAGGCACTGCAACTGCTTTCCACCCAATATCTATTGAAACTATAGAATGCTTTTGAAGCTATTGCTCCCCTGTATTTTCTTGCTTTTTTTCGTATATCGTCCTCATGCTGTTGTAAGCAGTTATCGATATTGTCACTAAGCTTTACCCCCAGGTAAGTGTATTCAGATACTTGCTGCAAATTCATTGCTCCCAGTTTCCAGACACCCTGTTGCTCCTCTATCGGCTTATTGAGAATCATAATTTGGGATTTCTGTTCTCCAAAAACCATTCCAACATTTTCTGCAAAGTCTGCGGCAATGCTCAACATACTTTCCATTTTACTCCTATTCTCTGCTAGCAGAACCACCACATCCGCGTATAACATCCCCGGAAAGCAATTCCCTCCAATGCACAATCCATTTGCATTTGTTACGAGCCTAGTAGACAATTCATTGATAAACAATGCGAAAAGGATTGGTGATAAAAGGCAACCCTGCTTTAGACCTACATTAGATGCTATCCAATCCGATTCAAACAGTCCCAAACTTATCTCTGATTCATTGTTCTTGTACATAGACTCCACTAGCTTAACGAACCCATTACCCAAACCTATTCTTCTTAGTTCCCTTAGTAATTTATTCCTATCCACCCAGTCATAAGCTTTTTTGAAGTCCAAGAATGCAAAGTATAATGGTTTTCTTACATGTTTCGCCTGCTGAATGCATTGGGTTATTATAAATATATTATCTCCCGTGCGCCGATCCCTCCTGAAACCATTCTGTAACTCCCCCAAAATATTTGAGTCTTCTAACAATTTTTCCAGTCGATCTCTAATAATTCCCATGAATAACTTACGTTGCTCGTTAAGGCAATCGGTCTGTAGTTTTGCAGAAGCTGTTTATCCAAGTTTTTACCCTTATAAACTAATGATACTTTTGATTTCTTCTATAAATCTGGGAACTCTAATGACTGTAGAATTTTATTAAAGAAGACCGTTAGTGCTTTGACTAGGAATTTTCCCCCAAACTTTAGAAATTCGTTTGGTACCTCGTCAAAGCCACAGGCCTTGCCCTGCTTACTTAGCTTAAAGGAACAGTAGCCTCTAGGATTTTACTGCATACAACGTACTGTACTTACTGTATAACAAATCGTCTATACCCACACATACGTATTTGTTACCAGATACCTAATTTAATTGTTATAATTAATTACACATCAACGCTACAAAATTTGAATGGCGCCATGACACCCGCGACCGTGCTGCCACCCCGAAAAAGTTGCGTATTTGACAATTTATTTTGCACGTTACAGACCGAGTGCTAATCACAAAATGGCAATTATATTTATACATAAATGCTATTTAACTGAACGATATTCATTTTAGGGCAAATTTATTCATATTATAATTGAAACTATATATGTCGTTTATAAGATATTACAATCCTTTTACTTTTAAATGAATAAATAAGAAACACCCTCGGTCTGTAGCCCTTGGTAGCTGGAAAGTGGTTTTGCGCAACTTATCAGATCGTGCGCTTTGAGTGGCGCCACCATCGTTGTAATCAAACTGTAGTCATTAGTTTTAAAACATTTAAAAAAAATATTTCTAATGGTCATTGAACCATGAAAACTTTTTATGTAGGGTAATTATAACCTAAATTACCTGAAAATAACCCTAGAACCTAGAGTAAACTTTCCCTTTAATTCTAAGCCGCACCTCCTCTACCGTTATTCTACTTAACAAAGTATTTCTAATATCTATATGAGGGCTATATGTAAATGGTTGGGACTCCTGGGGGCCCACTGAGATGCCAGAGTCCGAGTTGATTTTTCGCCAGAAACCCGTGAGTTCATTTTCTATATTCTCTTTTTTTTCAAGACGCACCCATCTTCGTTTATTATTTTAACTATGCCATTGCGTATAGGTTCTTCCTTTCTAATTAGCTCCCAAAAACGTTTAGTACTTTTCCTACCCGCGGATTTTATGTTTATAACCTGTTGCTTTTCAAAGTCCGCTCGTTTAATTTCAAGAGTAGTAGTTTAGCACCCCGGATTAGTTTGGCACATATATGCGAACTATATAGACTGGGGTCCTAAACTAGGATTGAGTGTATCAATATATTGACCTTGTTGTACCTTCTAGATAAAAGTTGACTTGGACCAAGAACTCTCGTTCACAAAACTGTAGCTAGGGATGGGTGGACACTGCCATGACACTACCTGATCACAATATTTAATGATTTCTTACACTATAGTATAGATATGTTTATATTTACATCTATATGTTGTACTTTCTAGATAAAAGTTGACTTGGAACAAGAATTTAAATTCACAAAGCTGCAGCTAGGATGGATGGACTCTGCCTTGACACTACCATATGCAACTTTTCAAGTAAATAATTTATCCCAATGTATAAAACCGTGAGTGGTAAGTCAATAATTCTAATATGGCCTTATTAACAGCTAGATCTGTGTTTGATGAGGCAAGATAGAGCTTGGAGAACACCAGTAGTGTTTTTTCTGGGATTACATATGAGATAGTGGTAGAAATGTTTCTTTTAATTTAAGGTTTCATAACTAACCTTAATCTGATGTAGAAATTTTTTGAAATAGATATTTTAAAAGGTAATTATACCGTAAGAGAAGCGTGTGACAATCTGACATTAAAATGAAGAGCCATTATCTCAGTCAGGTTTCGTGATGTGTCAGTTTTCAGATGATTCCCATTTTAAATGCCAATATTACAGGTGTTATTTGGATCAGTTGGTGACACACTTGGTGCTAGACGTACATCATCTGCTGGATTGCTGATCGCTGCTGTATCCATGGTAAATGTTGGTAAATGTGATTGTTTTATCCGAATGCACAATTATTACATTTACACGCGTTCTGTCAGAATTCATGTTTCAGACAAAGGTAGATTTTTTCTGCATCAATGACGACACATTAATACACTTAATACACGTTAATACAGTTCATTCCCTTATGTAAATGTAGGTGTTTTATTCAGGTTAGCTTTGGCTATTGGAACCACCTAAGGATGTTCCTGATGTTACTGGTCATCAATGGCATTGGTCAGGTAATGATGCGACTAATTTGAGGTGGTTTGGCATTAATTTTTTATTTTCAAACATTGGTGCAGAAATTTTCAATATATAATCATGGTAAGTGCGTTTGACGTTTTCATTACTTTGCCAATCTGGCAAAAATGCAGTGAATGTATAAATATCTTCTAATAATGGTCATTTGGGAATTTAATTAGATAAAACTTAATCAGGTAATTAGAAGACTATTAAAATAGCTAGATTGCATTCTAAGTATGAGTTCTAAATTCGTTGCCTTAGTTGTAAGTTAAAATAGATTCACACTATATATGCTTCACTGTACTTTTCACTAGAACACACCCTGCTGCAGGGTATATAGCACCAGTCACAGACGAGGGAAAATCAGCACGTAATATCGTGGATTTTGGTGAGATTGGCCAGCATTTTCCCAGTTTCATTCACTATCGTATTACTAGTATTGATGATGCACAAGTCTATCTCCTGATTCTGTTTGTCTGCCACACACTTAGCCAAAACTCTTAATTACATTTGTACTAGTCCCAGTGCTGGCCAAACTTCATAAAGATCATAGGATTGTGGTTTACGAACAGTAATAGAAATACTGTGTTTGGAATCTATGGAACATGTGCCTTCGCCGGTGGAATTGCAGGAACATCTCTCGCGGTTAGTGGTATGCCTAACGACAGTTGAATTTCCATTGCAACTAAAATTGTAAGAATAGCTCACATTTAGTAGTTGACAGGATCTAATATGTGCATACTCTATATGGCCTTCTCATTCTTAAAATGGGAATGTGTTTGTAGGTGTATCTCCAGGCATCCTATGGATGGAGACACATCTTCTTTCTACCATCTGTGATTGTGGCAGTCTCGAGTGTTCTGGTTTTCCTCTTCTGCTCTGAGCCCTCTGAGCTAGGACTTGTCATTCCAAGCAAAGGTGCGCATTTACAACTATAAACAGCAGATGTGTATATTTCTAGCTTCATCTGTATTTTTAAGGTATTTATTTTGAGATAATTTGCATGTAGTTGCAGGAATCTCATGACTGTGTTCATTGATATTTGATACAGATCTGCAAACTACGTCCAACAGGGATGTTTCGACTGTACTATCCTGGTCAGAACTCTTAAAAATGCCGTAAGTTTCTTTAGTCTGTGATCGTTTAATTGAATGGGGAGAAATTGAAAATAGAAGAAATATATTATTATTATATATTTGTCTGGGTAGTCCTTAAATGAATATAGTGCATTGTAAACATAGGTTTATGGCATTGCTAAAAAAAAAAAATTTTAGATAGTGGGTAAACAATACATCTGCACTTAATAAGTTAATATTTAGTCAACAATGTAGTAAAGTAATAGTAAAATAGTAAGTTAATACTTGAATCTGTGTGATAATTATTTTTACAATAGGATTCTAATCGATGTGTCATTGGCCATGTTCTGTTTGAAGCTTGTGAGATACTGCATGTATATGTGGCTACCATTGTATCTACTAAGTCATGTAAGTCTAAGCAACCTATAGGTACTAATGAAATAAATTTATTCTGATGGATATATTAACAATTGATAGGTGAATCGTCAGAGAGACGGACAAATGGATTGATAGATAGATTGATTGATTTACTCGATCACTTGATTGATTGATTAATTGATTGATTGCATGATTTTGATGATTCTGATAGGGGTTCATTCTGGCCACATGTATGATTTAGTTTTTTCTCCATTTTTTACAAGCTTAGCTATGGTAAAACGGAAGCCGGCATGTTTTCCACGATGTTTGAAGTGGGAGGAGTGGTCGGCAGTGCAACAATAGGACTCGTGATTGATAGGTTTGAACCTTGCCTCCAGTTCAATATTGCCATACCAATTGATCTATTGATTGACAGGCTCAATCCAATCATTGTGATGAGGCACTCTAAAAGACAATGCTTGCTACGAAGTGCTGTAAAGTCAACAATTTGGCACGGGCACATGAAAAACATATAAACTCCTCTAGCATAATTGACATAGCAACAATATCTAAAGGGGTGTGGTTACTTCCTTCATAGGCACAGGTAAAGTGAAGTGTATGTGTAAATATTATACGTGAAATTTTCGTTTCGATCGTGTAGGTAACGGTCGTGCATTTCATATAGGATGTTCAAAGGCAACGGCATCTTGGGATCAGCGATTTCGGCTCTCTTCTGTACAGTGTGTTTGTTGTGCTTCACGCTCACCCGCCACTGGGGAGTCGCCTTCAACAGTGCATTCATGGTGCTCGTAGGAGCTTTCAACTGTGGACCTGACACCATCTTGGGAGGCTCTGTCTCAGCACAGCTGGGAGAGATGAATGGCCGCTCATCCGCAGCTTCCGTGACTGGCATTGTTAATGGTACGATTCATCTTAGATCAGTTGGTGACAGCCACGCCCACACGGGGAGAAGTGACGCGGGTGTTGTGTCAACACGGTGCAAAGGCCCGGTTTTTACAAGCACAGGACTTTAACACAGCGGTTATTCAACGTTACCTTAAGCACTGGTTTATGCACTTGTTTCTGTTGAACTTGGCTTTTGCCTAGCAATCCTAAGCCCCGTATAGATGCAAGTAAATGTTTTAACGGTCTTACCTGGAGCATTTTGTGGGCACCAGCAGTGCCCATCAGTGCCCATCAGTGCTTCTCGACTCCCAGGCAGTGGCTGGAGGGCTGGGTCAGCAGTTATGCTCGTTCTTAGTCGTTGCAAAGTGCAGGACTAGGAGTGAGACACATGTAACCTTGACTATTGTTGACACAAAGCGTTGTTTTGCAAAACCCAGTTCCGTCTGTCACGAGCACCAAAATGTAACGACGGCTTTTACACTAGTTTGAATGAGTAATTTTGAGTAAAAGAATCAAGAAGAGTGTATAGAATTTATGTTCAACTAAAGATATAATGTTTACAAAACAACCGGCCACGATACAGTACACGTCCGTCTCGTATGTCTACCCGTCTTCCAGTTCAACAACCCACAATGACACAAAGAAATGCGCACACGCGCATAAGCGCGTGTGCTCACTTCTGTGGTCAAAACCAGACTCCCGACTCCTACATCTTTCCACTCAATCTGCACCCCTATTTCACAATCTCTCTGAATCGCTTCTCTACTCGCACTCGCACACTCAACCTAGTTATATGATATACTACATGCTAACTACCTGACTCTACCCAACCTAAGCTTACTAATGTACATCCGTACACCACATGTTACAAAGGCAAGGATAATGGTTCATAGAACCAGCTTCAGGATAGCGAATTGGTTTCTGAAATCCTGCTTCCTAATTGGAAACATTCCATTAGTATTAATCCTATAGTTATTACATTATTTTATTTTTTTATGTTATATATCTTATTTTCATCTTAGCAGCATTGACCTGCTGGTAAACATTTGTGGTATTGCGAATAACATGTATACGTTCAGCATCACACGGGCTTCGCATGTTCAGTCCAGTGACTGGCACTGTAGACATCACGTTCTGTGGAAGTGACACGTTTCAAGGTGACCTCTAACAAAGGAACGTCTGTTTCAGGATTTGGCACTCTGGGCACCGTGGTGCAGGGACCATTGATCGGCTTTGTATCAGAACACTATGGCTGGCCAGCCGTCTTTTACATCATGGTCGCTTTCTCAATGTTGGGGAGTGTGTGCATCTTTCACGCCAGCACGCTAAAGGCTGCACTCGCACAGGAACAGTCAACGAGCTCTGGCGACAGTAGGAGGGATATACAACGGCTGTTAGTAGAGCAGGAAATCTAGCATTTGTTAAAAGAAAATGTTTGACGAAATAATGGGTCAATTAGGTGACATTTTAATGATAAAATAATAGTAATTTACAATGACCCAAATGTTATAAATGCACAATTTACGGGTGATAGTAATAACTTAAATATTTTATTTCCCTATAGTATTAGCACGTGGTGCTAGAAGTGTGCTACAGAAATTACCTTTATATCACTGAATTATATTTAATATTTTATTAAATTATATATTATAATTATAATTATAATTATAATTACACTGAGTGTGGAGTAAAGGAAGTCTGCAATGAGCACAAGACAATGATTTCTCTTTTAAGTTTTTGTGCTGTTTTTTCTTGCGTTTCTAGACCTGTAAAGGCCTATTTACACGATGCGTCCTAGACGTACGTCCTCGACGTACGTCAGACGCATACGTTCAAAACGCACCGTGTAAACTATGCGGTACGACACGATTTTATGCCCCTTGCTATATCGGATGCACAGGACGCATGTTCTAATTTCATCCGACATCG